AGACGTCCAGAAGAGTTTCAATGCATAAAAAATAAATGCACTCACTCAACCATCAACCACTGCCAAAAGTTTAATAACTGAGAGAAAATCAGCAACAATTTTAAAGAAAATAAATTAATTATATTTGTTTGGGGACATTTTTTATCCAGTCTAAGCTTGTTCTTTCTCTGTTTTCTGACGTGTGACCGTGAACATTCTTGCCACTTAGCTCCTGTCTTGGCATCTCTTCTTTGTTCTTCCTGTTTGGATTTAGTTTTAAAATCTAAATATTAACATTTTGTCTTTTAAATGGCCATTTTGTCAGCCTCAGTTGTTGCTATATAATTAAAACTGACATTGACATTTCAGCATTTTGTTAGACTGTGGAGAAAAGTGAATGTAAACAAGGAAAACAACATTTAGAGATTTTAGACTTTGATATATTTGGTTCATGTTAATTTGATCTTGTGAAATTTGTGTGTTTCTGAATCGGATGTTTTCTGGTTTACACATTTAAAACCCTCCATGCACTGCATGCTGAAATTATTATGTGTTAAAGTCACAGATCTACTCCACGTTTGTTTTGATTAAATGTGCCCCTGAAATGAAATAATTAGCATTTGTCATATTTCATCAGAGCAGAGCTGCTCTCTTCAGGATGAATGTGATGGTGACGTGATGTGGATGAATGGTGTTCGTGGCGTTGCGTTTTCTGGCTCATTGCTTCATAACGATTCTCCCAGAGTCATTGTCAACGGGCGCGGGAAAAAAGGAGGATCTGTATCTCTTTCCCTTCCAGCTCGGAGTCTTTCTCTTTCTGTGATGCAGGTTTTTTATTTTTTTTCCTCCCTGCCATCCTGCCAGGCGTCGCTGTCAGAGCACCCCCCCCCCCCCCCCCCAAAAAAAAAAATCACTGCCTCCATGGTGCTGTTGGAGCTGCTGGAGTGGGGGATGGGAGGGAATGACAGAAGGGGGAAAGGAGGGAGGCGGTGGAATTCTGCAGGTTGCCAGGGCGAGCTAGTCGATAGCTCATCGAGCCACTTCAGCCTTTTCTCTGCCCTTCACCTGATCCGCAGAGGGGGAAGATGGAGGACGATGAGCCGCAGATCTAATATTTAAAAATGTCTCCTCCTCCTTTGCCAAGCTTTCCTTTTAACCTTTACGTACAAACAGATAATTGTGTTGAATTCACTGACAGAAATGAGTGACATTTGGAGCAGCAGATTCTCGATTTAAGACGAAAGAGTGATTATACTGACCCAGAGTTTTATTCAAAAAGTTTATATTTCAACAAAAAATATGGGTTAAGTTTATTAATGTCATTTTTTAAACTACATTATGTTGTAATGATGAGGATGTATCAGGTGTGGCTCTTGGAAAATGTACTTAAATCAAATTAATTGCAGGACAAATCAGTAAGAGTTGCTGGTGACGACCTAAAACACTTGAGGCTGGTTTATACTCCACGAGAAGAGCCAAGTTGTGTTTTGGTAGGTGTGTGATGAAAATTGTATATTTTTCATTCCTCACTGAGACACCTTCTTGTGCTTTGCCCTAGAGCTGTCATTTCTAACATGGTCCCGATGCCCGCCTGACCCGAATTTGGGCTGGGCCTTAGTAATGTGATGGGTGGGCCGGGTCGGTGTCGGGCTTTTGATTGCATCAGCGGACGCAGGTGGCTGTCGATTCAATTATATGGCAACATGGCTTGCCATACCTTCACCAGCTGCACGCGGCCGTTTGAGTTGACCGGCCTTGAAAGGTGTAAAATAAAGTTCAGTTAAGCTTCAGATGGGACTACACTGCCAGGAAGTGATCCATCGCCCAAATGGACATTCAGCCGCTGCGCTCAGTGGACTCACGCGACCGACGACTCCCAACAGGTGAGATCCCAAAGCAGACATGTCAGAGCAGGGTCCGTGTCTGAATAATGCAGAATGCAGGCAGAAGCAGGGATTTAATGCTCTTTCATGGCCATGAAAGGACAAACACCCCCTCACCTCTGAGCTTCTGCGCCTTTTATTCAGCCCCGCTTGTCCGCCGACTGTTAATAACTATATAAGCTGTCAAAGCTTAATAAAAAATGTTGGGGGGGTTGGGGTGTGTGTGTTGGTTTGGGATCTGTAATTACAGTTAATTCGTCGGGTTGGATGAGGTTTGGAAATGATGTCTACCGGCTGGGGCCAGGTCGGATTGGATTTTTGGGCCCGAATGCAACTCTACTTTGCCCCTAGCCCATCTCGACCCCCATTGAGACGTTAGTGGAGGAATATCTGGTGTTCTTGTTGTTAAATGAGTAGCATTATGTTGTAAATTTGTCACAAAGAGACTGTCCATGATTCTACAAGCTGGTGCGAGAAGGTGTCCCTATGCTGTCACGCCAAGACGCAGGCCCTCCTGGTCATCAGCGCCATGAAGAGCCACCAGTGTCTCCTCCATGCACAAAAATCGTCCAATCTCTTTGCACAAGTTCTTTGACTATCTTAATGCTTGTTTGTTTTTGGGGGGGAGTCATTTTTGCTGGAACAGCTAGAAATGAGATCAGCGTCCTGCAGCCACTTTTCATAACTAAGCCCACAAAGTTTGGACCACAATACTTGACACATTGCATGTAAGAAATTATTTCTGGGTAGAGGCAGGACAGCTGACTCGGGACCCGGAAGTCCCAGGTTCGATCCCCAGTCCATGCACATGTCGTGGTGTCTCTGAGCAGGACACCCTATCCCCAATTGTTTCCCAGGCACTTTCAAAGGCTGCCCACTGCTCCACCTGGATGGATGGGTTAAATGCAAAGATCCAGTTTCACCATTGTGTGGTAACATCCAATGATGACGATACATAACACATTATTATTATCATCCGCTAAAATAAACTCCTTCAACCGTTCTGTCTGTGGTGACGTCTGCTGCAGAGGGAAAGCTTACCAGGACTTCTCCCCTGCAGCTTCTCTTTGAGTATGAATTGTTCATGCAAAAAGAGACCCTTAGGGAATTTTGGTCAATGTTTATGGAAGTTTTTAACTAAGATGGCTGAGAATATTAACTGAACCAGGTGTTTGAGTTAGCAGAGAGAGCTGGATGAGGAGCTGATTTGATACTGCAGGCGCAGCTAGCAGTCCAAGGACACCAGTCTGTCTGTGAGCTCGGAGCTGACAAGCTTATAAAAACAAGCCTCACACGCCGCCCGTGGCAGATTCTGGTGACTGGTGATCTGTGTAACCTGTTGTGAAAATCTGTCCTTGCAAGTAAAACCAGTTAAAAATCTCCTGTCATTGAGTGTGGCTTCTTTGAGTAAGTAAGTTAAATAGAGGACATTTTTAAATAACAGAGACCGTCTTACAGTCATAGCAGCAAGATTCAACATCTTAAGTCTCGTGAAGGACCTGGACCTTTAGACTCTTTGATTTGCTCGAGCAGCTACAACTCTTCCAGGGTCGAGCAGGCCTGCGACTCGTTGGCGAATGTGAAGGAGTCCCCCAACATGCTTTGAAATGTTTGCAGGGTTTAATGTCTTTGTGTGAGGCAAAGAGGTATTTTTTAGCAAAGAAGCACCACGGTGAGTTGATGTTCCGTGAAACTTCTCATTTACGAGTCAAAAAGCACATCTCACCTCACTGAGTTCCTACATGGAGCTTTGGATCGCAACCATCAAAAAGTCATTGTTAAATCTACACCTCAGACCGATGAACTTTTGTTATGAGCTCAGTTCAACGTGTCCGCCATCGTTAATCAACGTAGCAAACACATAAATGACCAAAACCCAGTCAGTTGGTGTGGTAGTAGCTGAGTGTCGTTCCCAACACATTCTCTGAGCACTAACTAAAGAAATACTATACTTTCATTGAAAAAGGTTTGCAGCATCTTTTGACTTGGATTTCACACTGATCCATCCATCCATCCATCCATCCATCCATCCATCCATCC